CTCTCTCTCTCTCTCTCTCTCTCTCTCTCTCTCTCTCTCTCTGTATGTGTGTGTGTACCCCTCAGACCCTGACCTTGTAGAATGAAAGTTTGGTCACATTTGGTGAACCCCTTCCTGACGCGCTGGAGCAGGTACCCTTCCTTGCTTCCCAGGACTGCTCCAGTTCCTTGCTGAAGAATCCTTTGTTTTTCTCTCCGCAGACCGCTACAGCTCAGAACAAGAGTTTGTGGATGATTTGAAGAACATGTGGTTTGGGCTGTACTCGAGAGGCAACGAAGAAAGAGATTCGAGTGGCTTTGAACATGTCTTCTCAGGTAGGCTCACTCTGCTTGGCAGAGAAGAGTGTGGGGGGACGAAGGGGTTGGTCAGCCCTGAGCTTTGGCTAACAGGTAGTCAAGCCACCTGGCAGGGAGGGACTCCCAGGTCGAGGATGAGGGGCATCTGAGAAGCCACACTGAGGGATGACAATCCCTCTAGAATACCTAAGAGGGAAAGAAAACCAGCCCAGGTGCTCCCAGGATTGCATTTAGTATGAGCGACTGTTGGCTGGCATGTCTGCCTCTGAGCAATCCTCTGCTCTGTGGCGTGGTTAGGGGCTTCCTACAGAGGCTATTGTGCCCCCTCATCCTTGTGGTTCTCACTGAGCCTGGCTTGATCCCATGGAAGCAGTCAGAAGACTATGTCAGAGCAGAGGACTGTCTAGGAGGAAGTCTTCTGGAGTCTTGAGCCAGAGAGAACAGTCATATGAGGGTATCAGGCAAGGGGCTAAGTAAGAGCTGAATAGAATGGAAGTCAGAGCCTGGAGATGGGAGACAGGCTTGGCATGGAATGATAGAGATAAACTGGAAGGGAAAGGGATGAGAAGGCAGCCCGGACACCCACTTTGGGCTCTTTATTACAGGTGAAGTGAAAAAGGGCAAGGTCACTGGCTTCCACAACTGGATCCGCTTCTACCTGCAGGAGAAGGAGGGTCTGCTTGACTATTACAGTCACAACTACGATGGGCCTGTAAGTGCCTGGGCTGGGGGGCCTGGTGGGTGCCCAGACCTCCTGCTCTTCCTCTGGCTGCCAAGCAATCAGATTTGCTTCTCACTCAGCCCCCCACAACCACCCAACAGGAACCATGTCCTCATCTGCTAGAGAGCAGATTTCCACCCCAAATCCTAACAGTAAAGCCTCCAACACTGCCAGGGACAGGAGATAGAGGGTACCACATCCAGCTGGGGGCCAAGGCCCAATTCTTAGACCATAGAACAAAGCATGCATTTACTCCCTGCCTGAATGCCATCGTCACAGGGTGGCAGGGATGGCCACCCTGGCTAACTGAGCTACACTCCATGTTTCATAAGAAACTTTTGCTGCCCTAGGCAGGGAAATGACTTGGGACAATAAACAGGCCTCTTGCATGTGGAGGGCCACAGGGAACACTTGTTTGTTTCCCTGCACTCTGGGTTGATCACGTGGGTGTCACTCCGGATTCATTGCCACTGATAGCTTCAGACAGTGGGTCTGAGTGGGACGCGGGCACTTTGCACAGTAGGCTGTCCCTTCTGTCTGTTTAAAGTGTCTCCAGAAGGCTCCTCAAGAACCCCCATAAATACTGATGGTGCTGACTGATGGTGCCCAGGTCTATCACGTGACTTGTGCTGCCCTTTCTTCTGCAGTGGGATTCCTACCCTGATGTGCTCGCCATGCAGTTCAACTGGGACGGCTACTACAAGGAAGTGGGCTCAGCTTTCATTGGCAGCAGCCCTGAGTTCGAGTTTGCCCTATATTCTCTGTGCTTCATCGCCAGGCCAGGCAGAAAGTGAGTACTGGGGTGACCGAGAGACCGGAGCAGCAGGGGAGTCTGACTATACGTCATCATCTAGGACGGTGTCAGGAGGCCTTAGGGCCTCCACTCTGGCTGGAATGGTTGGAAAATCTATTGCTCTTCCCTTCGACAGTGAAATGGTCAGATTAGACTGGTCGCTGCCAGTCTTCACCCGAGCACCAGCACCATCTAGCTCCTTTCCTCCCTCCTCGAGTGAAGCATTCAGTGTCTACCAAGTAATCTACCAAGCAGTCAGCAGTGCGGTTGTCCTGGATCCCCGAACCCCGATTGGCTGTTTGGGAGAACCACAGAGTCCCAAAGAGAGCAGTTGATAATAACTGGCCTCTGTCACTTGAGAATTTGTTTGGGTCCTAATATGTTTTGTTTTCATTTATTTTAGGGGGGGCTTTGTCTCACTGCGTAGCTGGGGCTGTAGATCCTCTTGTCTCACAGCCTCTTGAGTGCCGAGTTTATGGACACATGCCCAAGTGCCTTGCTCTGGTCCTATTATCTCCGAAGAAGAAAGCAAACACCTAATTTCTAAAGCATTCAGCTGGAGGCATTCAGAGTATTTCTCTGGGGAGGACGGGGAGCACTGTCCCATAGGCAGAGAGACACCAAAGTCCAGATTTGGAAAGCTGGCTAAGCTCAGGGAGTTGGGAAAGAGGCTTTGGAATGCGGGCCACTCTGTCTGGGAGGCTGGAATGCTTCTGCTGGGGACGAAGAGGTTTTTTTCCATCTGGAACAGAGATGGGTGAAGTGGTGGGCTCCACTGACTCGATTCATGATCTTTCCCTACAGGTGCCACTTAAGCCTGGGTGGCTATCCTCTGAGCATCCAGACCTACACGTGGGATAAGACCACCTACGGAAATGGCAAGAAGTACATTGCCACAGCCTACATAGTGTCGTCTACCCAATAGAATTTGCAGCCAGATGGGCTACGAGGGCAGGGGGCCAAGCTGGATCCAGGTGCTATTTGCTCTTTACTGGGAAGGGAAGGGAAGGGAAGGGACGAGTCTGGGAGGAACCCCAAACCCCAGTTTTATGAAAGAGATCTCAACTCTAGAAATGCCCATGTGGGAGAGAGAAGAAAGGATACAATTAGAAAAATATGTAGAGAATCAACCAAATCTTTGTTGTTTTATATTCTAGCAACATGAACTAAGAAATAGAGCCCCTGTCTGTCTGGCAAAGGTAGCAGCCCTCGAGAGTTCTTTAAAGTGTAGTGGGACCATGAGCAAGTCCTTGGCCTCATATTTCCCTTTAATGTGAAGGGGAGGGTCTTCCACCTTTCCTGCGTGGGGCTTGGGGAGAGGGTGATGCGGACAGTATTATGATTGTGAGGTGTCTTCAGGTGTTTGTAGGAAGAACCAGTGGTAGAAATTCGGGGTTTCCAAATGGCTGTCTCTGCAACTGAGACTCAGCCTTGTGTTGGGCCCCAAAGAAGCAGGTCTTAGACCCAAGCAGGAAAGTCTTAGAGAGTCAAATCCATGAGAGTGTGGAGTCAGGGGTTGCGCGGTTGTAAGTGGGCTAGGGCAGGTGGCCTCCTCCATCCTAGATGTCTGTGTGGTCACGTGAGCATCTGCTTCTAGAAGTTTCCCCCTTGCAGACATTTAGTGCAGTAACAGACATGTGTTTTGATCCCACATAGAGCTTTGTTTTGTTTCAAAAGAACAGCCCTCATAGGAGGAAGATTGAGCATCCAAGGAAGAAAAGACTCTCTCACTTGGTGTCCCTGGCAATTATACTAAGGTTTATCCAGCTGCCAGAATTTGGAACATCCTAGGCTGGTAGAAGAGGGACCCTGGGGCTCCTGTTTCCATCTCTATGATGTATTTGTTGACCCCTGATGCTCAGGATCCAGGTGTGGCTCCACAGAGCCAGCCTTGTACCACAGCTTAGAGGCATCATGTTTCCAATTAAAGGCACTGGAGAAAACCTGAAATGTGTTTCATCCTTGTATATGTTGACTCTGATGGTCTTCTGGCCTCCTCCCTGGAGCAGGAGTGGAGGTCTTTGCAGTCTGGATCACAGAGTGTGGGCTTGGGTGAAGCCACTGAGGCTCAGAAGACTCTGTAGCCAGGAGGAAGAAGAATTCTTCCTGGTACACCTGTAACACAAGTAAAGGGCATCACACATGGGGTGAGGGAAGAATGGAGACCGAGGGCTTCAGCCCCAGTACCAGTCCCCTTGATCACACATGGGAGGGGCAGAAGGACACTGGGAAACAGCTCAGAAGGTTCCTGAGTGACTTCTCGCAGATTCTTCAGGCTACCATTTGAGGAAGATATCAGGCAGGACTAACTCCCAGAAGGCACAGACCTGGATGGATAAAGCAGGTTATCCTGCCCTCCCCAGGAGTGTTCCTGAGCAAGAGAAGGGTTAGTGGGACACAAGGGTCAAGGTGCAGATACTGAAGTCAGGTTGTATGTGTCCAGCCAGGGTCTGACCACATGGGCAAATTTCTTGTTCAGATCAGCATCTTCAACAGTAACAAGAGGAAGCTACTAACTATCAATGTGAAATTAGCAATGTTGTTTGTATATTTTGTATTATATGGAATAAGATGTTATTTTTGTAGCATGTCATTCTTCTAAGCATTCTTTTCCTTCCTTCCTTTCCTTTTTTAAAAAATATTTATTTATTTATTTATTATGTATACAATATTCTGTCTCTGTGTGTGTGTGCAGGCCAGAAGAAGGCACCAAACCTCATTACAGATGGTTGTGAGCCACCATGTGGTTGCTG